ACTGTACCTCATACAAAGCAGGCACCCAGTACATATTTTTGAATGAGTATACACGTGGATCCAAGAGCCTTGACACAGAGGATCTGAAAAGTCCCACCCTGTCTGTTTCCCAAGACCCAAGCCACCCCTTCCTCGTGGGCTGTAATTACCCATTAACGAGAATCCCAGCCCCCAAGGGCTTCACATAGGGCGCCTTCCCCAAAGATGAAAAGCTCATTTGTTAATAACTACATTTACAATATCTAAAATTTTGGTTGTGTTGTGAGGCTGGGTGCCTTCCCCATTCACCAATAATGACAGACCACTTAAAAAATAAATAACACATATAATTTAAGCAACGAAAACAAATAGCAGTGTTGGCTTTCCCTGGGAAAATATTTTCACTATTTCCTCGAGACGTCCTCACGGGTGCCCCTGCCTTGGCCTCCCCTGCTGAGATGCTTTCTCAGCAGGCGGCCTGGAGCACAAGGCTGCAGTCGGGAGGAGACCTCATCCTCAGCCTCTCTGGAGCCTGGGGTTGTTTTCTCCAGAGCCAGGAAGGGGGAACTACTTTCTCCTTTCATCCCCACCCCCGCTGTATTTCCCAGTACCCTCTCCTCACCAGGGGTTACAATCTCAAGTGCTTACAGGGGCAGACAGGGAACATTCATGAGCAAAGCAAGCGGTGGTATGGGGCAATAGGGACAGGTGGGGCTTGTGGTAAATTGAAGAGCAAAGTTTCCTCCAATAAGGGCCAAAGCTGGCCAATGCTTGCTAAGCAGATAGGGAAGGATGGAGACCCAGTTTTGCCAAATCTCCTTACATATCAAAAGAAGCCACCATTTTTTATTTATTTATTTTTTCATTTTTTATTTTAAATGTTGGTCCTTTTAATGATCTCAAAGGTCCTAATTCAAGCTCTCATTGTCTCTGCTTTCACCTCTTACTTCACTCATCCCGTGATGGCCATGCTGGTCTCTTTACTGTTTGGGAGCCACGCCAGACACACTCCTACCTCAGGACCTTTGCACTGCTATTCCACCCACCCAGAGCATTCCTCACTCAGATTATAAGGCCAGTGTGGCTGGAGTCCAATAGGTGAGGAGGGACATGGCAAAGAAGGAAGTTGGAGAAGAACCCAGGGTAGCCAGATTACGCATGGTGGTGGGGAGGTTAAAATCATACAGGGATGTTTTTGCTTGTCACAAAGATTGGGGTGTGTTAACAGCATTTAGTAGGTTAGGATCTGCATGCCAGATCCCCTTGCAAAGTGCGGACAGCTCTTCACACACAGAGTTTATCCACTAAACATCAAAGCAGGTGAAAAACTTAGGTATAATGCTTGGCACCTAGACTCTCACTTGATTTCACATTTAATATCAAAGATTTTTATTTTTGGCACAATATTATTTTACACTGAACTTTCTAAGATTGCTGTTTGTGTGTAAATCAAGAGGAAGTTATACTCTATTCTATCGGGAGCTTTATCAGGAACTGGTCCTCTCTATGGGAACCTCATCATTGAATGGGGCTTCCCAGGTGTCTCCAGTGGTAAAGAGTCTGCCTGCCAATGCAAGAGAACCAAGGGATGTGGGTTCAATCCCTGTGTCGGGAAGATGCCCTGGAGTAGGAAATGGCAACCCACTCCGGTATTCTTGCCTGGAAAATTCCAAGGACAGAGGAGCCTGGAAGGCTACAGTCCATGGGATCACAAAGACACAACTGATTGGCTGAGCACATATACACATCACTGAAAGCCAAACTGCTTGTAGAGCTTGAGTCTGCATCAGCACCAGCACAGCATCAGTCCGCATCAACAGGGTCCATTCATGGAAAGTCTGCCTGCGTCTGCTGCAGGCTCGGACGCCTTCACTGTGCCTTGCAGGAGAGTTGGGCTGGAATATTTATGTTCTGAGGTAATTGTTATTTTATTATAAATTAGTTGCCTCTAGAGTATACTTAGGACATTATATGGCTTATATGGATTTATTTAAATGATGTGTATAGATAGGTTATGTTATCTATGAATTCCATTTCAGCACAGTGTAAAGAGCATTGCAATGCATTTGTTATTTAGTAAAGAGAAAGAAGAGGAAGCCATACCTGACATGCTTGAGGCCCCAGATGTGGGCGCTTGCAGGATGCAGAAAGGGACTTGGGCCCTTTGTCGGTCAAGCAGGGAGTCCTGGGAAGGCCTCTAGAGAGGTAGGGACACCAGTGAGGGTCTGCTCAGCCAACCAGGAGGAATACTAGGGATAGCAATGGAGCAGGTGGCAAGAGGTGGGGCTGAGAGATTTGCTGATGCATCAGATGTAGGATGTGAGAGAGGACCCCACAGTTTGGTTCTGAGTGACTCAGGGAAAGAAAAGAGGACAATTTCTGAGCTCAGAACATCTGTATCTTGATATGGATGCAATCTGTGCCCAGGGAATAGAAAAAGCCTACTGGCAAATGCTAGGCGGCAACTTTCTTCCTGCCACCCCACCCCACGCACACCCGTTGCAGCCTCACCTTATGGAATGAACATAAGATTGGGGGTCAGGGTACCTGTGCTTGAGTCCTGGCTTCAACATTCACCAGCTGTGTGCTGCTGAATGCATCACTTGACTTCGAGAGTTGGTTTCTCCACCCCAAGAACTGGTTGATAATATTCACTTTAGAGTGTGATTATGAAGACAAAATTGCTGCTGCTGCTGCTGCTAAGTTACTTTAGTTGTGTTCGACTCTTGGTGACCCCATGGACTGCAGCCCACCAGGCTCCTCCATCCATGGGATTTTCCAGGCAAGAGTACTGGAGTGGGGTGCCATTGCCTTCTCCCAAGACAAAATTAGATGCAAGTAAAATGAGGCAGGGCAGAGAAATATCTCCTTTGCCACTAATGGCTCCATTTCTCTCAAGTTTCTAGACATCCTTGTGTCCCCTTGGAGGCTGTCCTCATGTACATTGAGTCAGTGATGCCCTCCAGCCATTTAATCCTCTCATCATCCCCTTCTACTCCTGCCTTCAATCTTTCCCAGCATCAGGGTCTTTTCCACTGAGTCAGCTCTTCGCATCAGGTGGCCAAAATATTGGAGCTTCAGCTTCAGCATCAGTCCTTCCAATGAATATTCAAAGTTGATTTCCTTTAGGATTGACTGGTTTGATCTCTTTGCTGTCCAAAGGCCAGACAAATAATTTTTATTTAAAAATGGTTTTTATAAATAACAACCAATCATAAATAAATACAGTACAGGTAGCAAGTGTGCTGGGCTTAGTCATTCAGTCGTGTCTGACTCTTTGCAACCCCATGGACTGTAGCCCGTCAGGCCCCCCTATCCATGGGGATTCTCCAGGCAACAATACTGGAGTAGGTTGCCATGCTCTCCTTCAGGGAATCTTCCCAAGCCAGGGATCGAACCCAGGTCTCCCACATTGCAGATGGATTCTTTACCATCTGAGCCAGCCGGGAAGCCCACAGGTAGCGTCTAGCCACAGTAAAACTCCTAAAGATACAGACAGTGCACTGCAACTTGGAAAACACATTAAAGGATCTCTTCATCCTGAGATGCTACTGTAATTTCCGTTTTGAAGATAGGGAAACTGAGGACAGATGCTGCCCACAGAGGCTGAGCTCCAAGATGCTGCCAGATGTATGACTGCCTGGAGAGACCATGGACGAAAGCGCCCACGTGGCCTGTAATAAGAAGCCCGGCACATAGCAGAGGCCTGCGGCAGCATCTGTCCCCACATGAAACCTCTGGGGCTCCCTGCCCCCGCCTCCCACCGTTCCTGACTTCTGAGCATAACGAGGACGACGGCAAGCTAGGGCCCTGCCAAGACACACTCTCAGAATTTGAATCAAATGAAATTTGAATCAGAAAGTTCCCCAGAGACTTGAATGAGGCTCCACGTTGAAATTTCTAGGAGAGGTAAGTGAGAGTACAGTGCATGTAAACTGAAATCACTTTGTACCCAAGTGGCTGAGTACAGAGGGCACAGCTGAATAAATCAGGAGAAAATGGATAGGATTGTGGGAGAGGGGAATGGAGGTCCCTCTTGGCTTGCATCAGGGGCCATTCTGAGGCCAGGAACTGAGCCCAGCGAGGGGCAGAAGTGGTAGGGGTATGTGACAAAGCTCTCCCTGGCTCCACACCCCAGGATTCTGGCCCCACAGGTAACCAGCTCCTCATTCAGGGCCCACAGTGTTTAATAGTACTTGGAAGTTCTACCTGGTGTCTAGCTGTTTCTCTCTCTCTTCTTCAAACATTACCCCCTACCCCAGCCAGGGAGGAAAATGTGACCACCTCTTACGGAGCACTCGTGTTGGATCACCCTCCAAACAAGGGCCAACATGAAGATGCCACAGATGTCCCCAAGGCTAGAGGGTATCCAGGAAGAGGACTGTGGATGGTAGGTGGGGCCGAAGTCTAGGGGGAAAGTGATTTCTGTTCACTCATTCATTTATTCACATGCTCATTCATTCACTTGGTGGACTAGCCCTGTGTTTGAGGAGTTCGGGGAAGCCTTTGGTATTCACTCCCACCCACCTCTGAGGGCAGAGAAGAGCAGGGCTGAGTGAGGCCAGATCGTGAGCAGCCTGGCCTTGACATTTGACCCTGCCTTTATGGGCTGTGTGGCCTTGGCAAACCCTACAACATCCAGAGCCTTGGTTTCCTTACCTGTGAGATGAGAACAGTAGTCGAATCTCAGAGGGATTTCTTGAGGATTAAATGAGATGGCAAATAGAGGGCTTCAGAAACACGTGGCACATGGTCAGCCCTCAAAAATAAGGCAGCTGTGTGTTGCTTTAATTATTATGTCCACTCCCTCCACTAACAGGGCCCAGGCTTGTCTTCACACTGTCCCACATGCATTTCATGCCCCAGGGCCTTTGCCCAGGCTTTCTCCATCACCTGGAACACCCCCTCTGCTCTACTTCCTAATGCAGCCCACTCCTGGGGCTAGCCCGCTTCCACATCACCTCCCATGCAGCCTGCTGGGGCATTCACAATGACTGTCCCCTATCACTTCCCCGGGGTGCTCATCTCTGCCCACTGGAGGGACCCTCTTTGGCCAGGCCTGAGCCCTCCCCTTTCTCATCCCCGCCAGCAACCTCGCCCAGGTGGGCCTCCTGGCTGTCTGATGGGATCTGTCCCGGGACACCACTCCAAGCGTCATCCTCTAAGGCAGTGGTTCTCACCTGGGGTGATTTTGCACCCCACCGCCCCTCCCAGCCCCGGGCTGCGGGGAGCATGTGGCTCTGTCTGGAGACATTTTTGTTTGTCACGACTGGAGGGGTGGCGGCATCAGGACCCTCATCAGTGTGTGGCGGCCGGGGAGGGTGCCGTTCATCGCTCAGCGCACAGGATGCTTCCCGCAATGAAGACCGATCAGCTTCAAAATGTCCATAGAGCGCTGAGGGCGAGAGGCCCTGCTTTCAGGAAACACCTGTTCTCCTTCCGCGAGTGAGAACGTGGGGAATTAGTTTCTCAGGACCGCACACCTCACAGCTGGGCTGCCGGCCCGTTTTTACAGCCTTGGGCACCTGGAGCTGTGCCTGCGCTGGAAATGGCGATTTCGCACATCCCACCCCTTGTCAGAGCATCCGCGAGCCCCTGCAGATTTGTACGAAGCAATTGACTAAGGCCAGCTGAGCTCCCCTTACTCCCGCCCGGCAGGGACAATGTCCCAGTACCGGGAGGCCGGGTCCCAGCCCGCAGCAGCGCGAAGTGTGGACTGGGGAGGGAGAGAGTGGGAAACGGGGCAGGGCCAGAGAAGTCCTGGGATGAGAGTGCAGAGGGTCCCTGGTATGAGTGGTTATAAACAGGACAGCACCAGATGTCAGTATCTCCTTCTGGGTGCCCAGTCCGTGAGGGCTTAAGCTTATTCACAACCCTGATGGGATGTCTCTTCCTGCCAACTTACTTCCAGGGCTGTCGTTCGTTGTCCTTACAACCAACCAGGTGAAGAAACTAAGGTTGAGAAAAATCAGGTTCTTTGCCAAGGTCACCCAGCCTGGTAGGTGGAGAAATAGAGCCCAGAACTCGGATTATCTGAATTATGGGTTTTATAAAGGCTCTATTTTGTGCTACCTTCCTACCGCCCAACTCCTACCTACCAAGAGGCTCCACCTCTGCCATCACTGATTGGACTGGAAGAGGGGGCGGCCGAAGATGAGCCAATCAGAACCCCTCTCCAAGGGATCGGATATTAAAACAGACCACCTGCGAGTCAGATAGAAGTAACCTGGGACAATGTTAATGAAGATCCAGAGAAAGCAGCATTCTTCTGACCCAGGTGTTCAAAGCCAAGGGCAGGCGGAAATGAGGGAAGGACAAACCCTGCGAACTTCGATGTGCGTCGTCGGGTGGTTCTCAGTCTATGGAGAGGCGGGCAACTTTCACATAGGAAGCAGCTGACCCGCCACGCAGCCCTGGAGACAGAGATGGCCTCTGCAATCACCGGTCCTCCAAGTGCCTTACTCCCCGCGTCTGGATTCCAAAGGAAGCTAGACTAGAATGTGGGTTTTCTCTTCGCCTCTAAATCTGAAGTTGACAAACTTTTCCTGTAAAGGACCAGATAGTGTTTTTGGCTTCTAGAGCTACACGGTCTACATCCCAGTGCTCAACTCTGCCATTGCAGGAAAAGCAGCCTTAAACAACAAGGAAATGAAGGAGCGTGGCTGGGTTCCAATAAAGCTTTAAATACCATGATGCAAGAGGGCAGAATTTGGCCCACAGGCTGGAGTTTGCTGACTCTTGGTCCAAATAAAGCCTGAGGTCCCGTGCACAGCATTTGTCTAAACCACAAGTTCGTGTCTCAGGAGATGGCATGGCCATTTATCCAATTGTCTGGCTGAAAACCTGGTGTAACTGAGCAGACAGTGCCTCATCCGATCCCATCCCATCCCCTGGGCACTAATCTCTACACCTGAAGCTGCTTGCTTGCTTGCTACAAAGTCCTATGACTCTGGGGGACAGCACACAATGTGATGGATGGGGACTCAGCCCCTCACCCCTTGTGTCTCAGATGTGTGCCCCTGATTCTCCCGCAGCCCCCAGCCAAAATAAGCTAGGCTCCATGGATAGAGGAGCCTGGCCGGAGGTCTGGGGTCACAAAGAGTCCGACATGACATCATGACTAAACAACAACAGCAAAGCCCACAGTGGTAATTTCTCAGTTCGGCATCTTTATTGGCTGTGTTCCTTTCCCAGCTCAGCGCTCTCCCCCCTGGGTGCTTCCTGGAAGCACTTCTCAAATAACTTCCTTGCTCTGGAATCCTGCTCTCAGGATCTCCTAAAGCAGACTAAGATGGTCAGGACTCATCAATGGCCATGCCTATTCTCTCTCACCCCACACCCAGACTGTCATCAAGTCAGTCCTTCCTTCAAAACATATGGAGAATCACGCTCATCACTGCCACTGCTTTCCTCTTGGTCTGAGTCAGTCATCTCTGGGACCCTCACAGTCCATTTTCCACATACACAGCAGCCAAATAAAACCAATGTAAGGCCAATTCCCACCTCTGCTCAAAACCCTCCTAGGGCTTCCCATACATTTAGAACAAAATGCCACGTCCTTAACCTCATCTGTAAGACTTTATAGCATCTGACTTCTTACCACTTCTCACCACTTCTCTGATCTTTCCTTGCAACTCTCTCCCTCTCAGTCTAATTCATCACTCTGGCCTTCTTTTGAGTATGCTACATGTGTTCCTGCCTCAGGGCCTTTGCACTGGCTCTTGTGTTTGCTTAAACCACTGTTCCCTGAAATATCTACATGGCTTCTCCTCTCACTGCATTCAAGTCTTTTCCCAAAATTGACATGATTAATGATGTCCTCATTGTCTGTCTTAAGATAGAACTCTTTCTGGGACTTCCCTGGTGGTCCAGTGGCTAAGACACTGTACTCCTAACACAGGGGGCCTGGGTTTGATCCCTGTCAGGGAACTAAAGCCTATATGGCCTCAACTAAAGAGCTTGTATTTGCAACTAAGATCTGGTGAAACCAAATAAATAAATTTCAAAATAATAATAATAAATAAATATCAAGAAAGATGCTCTTCCTGCTCATCCTCTTGTCCTATTATCCTGTTTATATCCTAAATATTATATATTTACTTGTTAATTTGATTTTGTTTTGTCTTTCCCAACTAGAATGTAATCTGCTTGGTCTGTGCCTGGCATATTCTCGTCATTTAAAACATGTTAATTAAGGAAGAGAAAAAGATGTTAGGCTGCTGGCTTTGACATGAACAGCTCTATGACCTTGGGCAAGTCATTTTCCCTCCCCATGCCTCAGTTTCTCATCTGTATTATGAGAATAAATAAGAAACAATGATAACAAAACCTATCTAATGGGATTATTGTTGGGATAAGGTGAAATATGTCTTTGCTGGTGGCTCAGGTAGTAAAGAATCCACCTGCAATGTGGAAGACCTGGGTTTGATCCCTGGGTTGGATGATCCCCTGGAGAAGGGAATGGCTACCCACTCCAGTATTCTGGCCTGGAGAATTCCATGGACTGTATGATCCACGGGGTCGCAAAGAGTTGGACACAACTGAGCAACTTTCACTTTCAAGGGGAGAGATCCAAGTATAGTGCCTGGCAGATATTACAGTGCTTAATAAATGGCAACTGTGTTTGCCATTGGGATGATCATAGGGCCTCAGTTTCCCAATCTGTGAAATGGGGCTGTTGCAACATTTAAATGAGGTGAAGAATGGACATTGCTTGGCACACACTCCTCTATTAAAATTAGTGATTTTTTAAATAAATACACACACACATACATCTAGTCAATGAAGTGCCATTCATGTCTGTCTTCCCTAAGCAGATTCCCTGAAGACAGGGAATTAGCATGAACATAAGACCATGAATTCAATGACTGCAGAAGGATGGCTTCTGTTCAGCCACATCCACACTGGTTGCCTCTGAGCTGATGCCAGCACATTCTTTCTGGGAGTTTTCTCTTCCCTCACACTGTGCAACCCTGATCTCCAGCAAACAGGCAGCCCGGCATCCCTGTTAAAGCCCCTCATGGGCATCAGAACCCCAGCTGCTCCCCCTCCAGAGCCCAGACCACCAGGCTGAGCAGCCACCGCGCCTCTGTGCGGTGTCGCTCCTTATTAGGCATCATTAGGTACACAGTAATTATAATAATTATGTGCACTGCTGAGGCGACCATCCTCAGTAACAACCCCTGCTATTCAGAAGTCATAATTGCTGCATCAAAACTTAAAATGAAGGCTAATTCGATGTCAGCTGCTCCCCCCACCCCAGCTCACAGCCCTCAACATAAACTCTATACCCAAAGTGCCCCATGACCCCCGGCCATCCTTGATTAATCTGCAGAACCCCAAACAAAGAAGCTGGTCCACAGGAGAGCATGACTCTGCCAGTGGGATTATAAGGAAGCATGAGGAGGTTTGAGGATGACTTTGTGGGGGTGTTGAGTCATTTAAAAAGAAAAGAATTTGAGGGCAAGAGGTGATTGCAGAGTGTGGGTGGTGGCAGCGGAGGGGAGGGGATATAGTCAGGAGATGGGGTTTGAATCCAGGTTGTGTCAAAGGCTTCCATGATGTTGAGCAGGTCACCCCTTCCCCATCAGTGAAGTGGGAGGGTGTGATTTGGAGAAGCACAATAAGAGCTTTCCTTCTAATGATATTTTATAGGGAAGCAACAAATAAAGAGATGCAGGCAGAGCTACTTTGAGAAAGGAGAAACACGAGGACCTGGAGACTTCCTGCCCTATGCCATCACACAGCACCTCTGAAATATCTCTGTCAACCCCTAGGTTTCTGGGCGTGTCAATGCCCTCTGAAGCACAGCGGGATCACTGGCGAGATTTAAAAACTGCTAACGCCCAGGTCTTACTCCCAAGGTTCTGACTTCACTGCTCTGGATGCAGCCCAGACACCAGGATTTTTAAAGTTTCCCCAGGTGATGCTAAAATGCAGCCTCATCTGAGAAGCACTCAGGCATAGGCTTATACCTGGACATTATACCTGGGCTTCCCCAGTGGCTCAAATGGTAAAGAATCTGCCCACAATGTGGGAGACCCAGGTTGGATCCCTGGGTCAGGAAGATCCCCTGGAGAAGGAAATGGCAACCCACTCCAGTGTTCTTGCCTGGAGAATCCCATGGAGAGAGGAGCCTGGTGGGTTACAGTCCGTGGGGTTGCAAAGAGTTGGACATGACCAAGTGACTAACACACACTCACATTTGGACATTCAAAGGGTCTCGATTCCGCCCAGCCTGGTACAAACATCCCCTTCCTGGGCCTCAGTTTCCTCATTTTCCAAATGAAAGTGTTGAATGCAATGGCTCCCGCAGGCCTCCCAGTTCTCATTTCCCTCTGGTGGGGAATCACTCCCAAGCTCAGCATGATGGGACTGCTTAAAGCAGGAGGTAAAACATGGCTGTTTGTGTCCCTTTTTTTCTGCCGAATATTTGTATCCACTTCTATTATGCAGGCCTGGCCTCAGTGCTATAGAACAAAAAATCACAGGAAAACTACTGAGTATTCCTTGCACCACTCCCCACTCAAGCACTTTAGGTACCAACAGAGAACCATTTATTGAAAATAAAAGGGCTAAACAGGAACATACACATACACATTAGTCATTAGTATTCAACTTCCCCCAAGGTAAACTATGGTTCTTGTGACTCAAATCCAGCATTTCTCCAAGTGGGCTGGGCAGGACACTGATCCCACGAGAAGATGCTCACCGCAG